AAGAGAGAGATTACATCTGAGAGAGCGCAGGAACATTGGTTTCACTGTATTCCGGAATAGCATGAATAGGATTTTCTTGTGCAGGGAGATCACTAGTAACTAAGTATCAGAAGACCCCATAAACATCAGACAGTAAACAAGTTTAATTGAATTTAACTGCAGACCTGAGGTCAGCACAAATGGAATGAGAGACGGAAGAGGAACGCTATGTGTGTGTGAGTGTGTGTACATTTATTAGTGCCGGGCGATATACCGGTTCATACTGAATACCGGTGTTTATTTTTGTTATGATATGAATTTTTTAAATACCACAATACGTAATATGTATGTCGCTTAAAAAACGTTCGGAACGCGACACTGTTTGAAAGGGGTTCCTTTTCACTGTTGCACTGTGGTGAGGGAACAGCTGTATGTGTTACTAAGCGTGAAAGTTCAGAAACTGAAGCTGTAGAACTAATAGAACGTGACGACACAGAAGAACTCATCCACAATATCCACATTGACCGCCACAAATATTCACCACCCCCTGCCATCAGCTCCCGCGTCTCACACACACGAGCGCGACTTTAGCACTAGATTTAGCAACTTTCAGACCCTTTTAGTGGCTTTTTCCCATAGAATAGTCATACTGACAAACCTAGCGACTTTTTTGAATTAACCTTAGCTATTGTTAAGTTGGAAGATTTCGCCAGTGCTGTCCCACGAACGCGAGGTCTGACTTTCCCAGAGAAGTGTCACCTCTCTCGGCGTCTGTTCTGTGCAGTGAGCGGCAGAGAAGCAGTGAAAGGAGAGGAGATGTACAGAGGACAGTGTGAGTCTCCAGTACAGAGAGTCATGAAAATCACAATTATTTGCCCTTTTTATTTCCTAATGACTAGTTAGAAACTAGGTACTTTTATTTAAAAGACAGTAACATTATGTTACAGTTGTTTAGTTTTATTAAATCAGACTGTTCATGTCAGTGAATTTAAAAGTGTGATTTAAAAGTAGTACAAAATTATGCTATAGTTAAGTTTGATTTATTTGTGTGAATCAGTACAAACTAACTATGTCAATGATGAGTCTGATTCAATAGCAGTTATACCTAAAAAATTAACTGAAGTCCTTTTGTGGGGTTTTTCATATAATAAAAAGTTATAATAAAACTTGCAATTATGGGAATTTTCAAAAAGTCTCTTATTTAAATGTACATAAACTCTAATTAAAAAATGTAAAGGTTTGAGTCAGTAAATTATAAAAAATATTTTTTTTTTCATACATTAAAAGTATTAGTAAAACTATATAAAGACAAATATGGCTCATAAAACGAGTTGTTGTGAGTTGAGCATGTTAATTTTAATAGTGTTTCTTATTTAAACATCAGTAGAAAAACATTCTTGATAAGAATAGTTAATTATATTATCCATCAAAAATATTCAATGAAGTCCTTATGCTGCCTCTTACATATATCAAATAGTAAATAGACAAAAATGGCTAATAAAACTTGGAAGTATGAGCATGTTAAGATATTTTAATGTTCTCTCTTATGAAAATCAAGCAAACAGAGGTAGTGGGGGAAAGGAGGAGGGTTGGAGGTGGAAGAGAAAAAGTGTGAAATTAAAATTGAAAATAAACGGTGAGAAATGGAAGGAAAGAGTGTGTGAAAAAGAGATGGGGAGAGGGAAGAGTGGGAGGGAAAAGTGTTAGTGAAGCCACCAAGTTTTCTCTTGTGCGTCAAAACAGACATATGCATAGAGAGTGACAAGGGCAATCAAAGATGCTTTAATAATTTTAATTTTAAATCATGTTTAATACATGTAATGCTGAACTGTGGGTGATCAAAGGTTTGTTTTCTAATCTATACATAACAGCAGGCATGTCCAGCAATGGTCATGTATGGCTCTCTGGTAGAGATGAAATGTGAGAACAGAACTGACACCTCTAGACATGTTCTCCACTCATACCCAAATGAGAGCATCACAAAACGCAGATGAGGGGTCCAAGCAGCCTCACAGGATGCTTGTTCAACACAAGTGAGGCCTCGCTGAATCTGTGCCTGAGCATCATATTTCTTAGACAAATTGTGTTTGATTTAGGAGGTCTGTACATGACTTTGTCTCTGTAATGCCCCCAACAGGGAAACACAAGAACTACAGCTGTGCTCTGTTGCAGCCTTGGCCTTTCAAGGTATTGATTGATCCTGGGTGCTGGCAAGGGGAATTTGACACCAATTGATCTTTACAGTGAGAATTATCAGAAGTAAACAACAAATAAAAATCTCAGGAGAAAATCTTAATCTTGACCATTAAGAGGATATTACCTTTTTGATTAGCATAAAAGCAAGTCTGAGTGATCAAGGCATGGCAGGATGGTAAGCACATAAAAACTCTGGCATACACTCTTACAGATAATCTACCTCTGTTTATAATGTACATATACAGTAAAATGTAATTTAAGAATTATGAATACAGCTATATGGAAATTTCGGGTAATTATTTTCATTTAATGGCTGGTAACTGATATATACTTATGTTAAGTGAATTTGGGCATTTAGGCATCACAGTATGTACACTTAAAATAAAGGTTCTTTATTGCCATTGATGGTTCCATGAAGAACTTTTAAGATACATGGAATCTTTCTATTCCACAACATGTTCTTATTAGTGGAAAAAGTTCTTTAGATTATTAATTAAAATGTTCTTCACACTAAGAAAAGAATGGTTAATTTAAGAACTGATTACTGAAAGGTTCTTTGGGGAACTAAAAATGGTTCTTCTGCATCGCTGCCAAAACAATGTTTTGGAGTTTTTACGTTTAGGAATGTTTAATTTTCCTTGAAACTTGTTCTGAAAAATACTGTTTGAATAAGAAAATAAGTCCTCATAATAACAGAGGAGGTTCAGAGTTATAAATCAAGTTAACATGTCTGGTCTGAAACAGAATTTACTATGCCTTTAAAAACATTAATAAAGATTGTTGTACTTTTCATGAAAATGAACTAATTTTTATGTACAAACGCATGTTATATGTGCACACCAAATCACTCTATCATGCTTGTAAAAATTTTAAAGTTTGGCATATTATTTTTCTATATCTTCAAAAGGATAGTTCAACTAAAATCAATTACTCACCCTCATGTTGTTCCAAACTCATAAGAGTTTTTATAATTGTATAATGATAAATAAAACAAAATATATTTCACAATAAACAATATTTTTATTAAACCAGAGATTTCTGTCCCTCCATTGCAAGTCAGTTCCACCTAAATGTTCACATACTGTCAACAGTATGAGAACTGGAAGCACAGGAATCTCTCAGGTTTCATGAAAAATACTTCATTTGTGTTTAGAAAATCTTATGGATTTGGAACTGCATGAGGATAAGTAATTAATGACAGAATTTTCATATAAAAATTAGTGGTAGATGATGACCTAGATCTTAAAATAGGCAGATACAATTAAGCATCCGATATCAGCTTAAAATCACCAATACAGACCAGTTATTATTAATATGATACCAATATCCTGTGCATCCCTAATGTAAACACAATTATATGGTTGAGCTGCCATAATATACTTTGTCATATTAACAGTAAATACAGAAAACTGCTTTTAGAGCCCCACTGTTATTATTCCTTATTGAAAACTTTGAAATGGACTAGATGTGACAGTAGGGGACCTCACCCAGCTGGGCAGGACGGAACTAAGGCAGATTGTTCCTCAGCATGCCCAGTGAGATGAGTCCATTCTCAGGTAAGACACTCTAGAGGAGGGGGGGGGGACGTCTTTAGAGAGACAGCAGGCAAGGATGAGATCCTAAAATAGACCCTCGCAGGTTGTGCCGCTGGAAACGGTCCCACATATTACCCTGCTGGTTCTTAGCAAAGTCAATGAAGATTTCACTCAAAGAAGAGTCTTTATAAAGCTCAGAGGAGCTGTGGGTGGTTTGGATTCGCAGTCCAAATCTGTAGACTTGTGCAGATAGGAGAAACTGAGATTTAACTGTACGGATTCTGGATTTGGACTCTGTAATCGTTCTGATTTGTATGGTTTATACAGATTCAGCAAATTCCCCATCAGGGAATCAACCAAATAACCGGAATGCAGTGTTGGGGGTAACGCATTACAAGTAACGCGAGTTATGTAATCAGATTACTTTTTCCAAGTAACTAGTAAAGTAATGCATTACTTTTTAATTTACAAGAGAATATCTGAGTTACTTTTTCAAATAAATAATGCAAGTAACTTTTTTTTTCCAATTTATTGATTGACAGCTCTCCTGTCCCCATGTTGAGAGAAATCAGAAGATGCTACTGTATTTCTAAAATAAAGGAATATGCATTAATTAATCTCACTCACAAAATAAAAAAACAGATTCAGTATTCCTCAAAATGAATTTAAAAAATGCAACTCCGAATATAATGCAAACCTGCAATAATGAAATGTTAAACACAAATATCCTTTATGTATTTAATCCCATTCTATTAACCAATGTCTTTGCTTCTGACCTTCGATGATCCAGTTCAACCGTACTAATAAGCACAAATTACTCTAGACAAACATTTGTGTGTTTTTTTTTTATTGCTGAAGTGTGTTGAAATTTCTTCTTCTGCATTCTACTGTACGGACATAATTTTACATTTCCTTCAGCCTGAGGCTTATTCATTTCACTTTTGGTGTGAAAAGGCTTTTATATTTGCCAAAAAATATAACTTTTTTATTTTAAAAACAAAAAAGCAAGCCCTGTCCATATTTTAAAAGTAACGCAAAAGTAATGTAACACATTACTTTCCATAAAAGTAACTAAGTAACGTAATTAGTTACTTTTTTATGGAGTAATGCAATATTGTAATGCACTACTTTTAAAAGTAACTTTCCCCAACACTGCCGGTATGTAGTTACAAACAAAAAAGAACACTCAAGCAAGCATAATAAAACAAATGAAATTTTAAAATGAAATGGAACTGACAACATGGAGGGTGAGTGGAAAAAAGCAATGAAAGTCTCTCAGCGGGTTCTTACGTTATTTGAGCGCAGCGACACTCTTCCCCCACAGCGGGCGCAGAACTTGGTCTGGCAGTAGGAACACAGATGCCCACAGCCATCTGCAAACTTGGTCTTACGGCAGATGCCACAAGTAGGTGCATCATCTTTATGGACAGCCTGCTGTCGTTTCGTTTCTGCCCCAATCTTCCTCACCTGCTCCTTATAACTCTCAAACTGCTGGTGCAGTGTCCTGACAGAAAATAAAAGAGAGAGAAAGAAAGAGAGAAAGGGGAAGCAGTTTGAATTGTTAGAAAACCTGTTATCTACAACTGAAACTATTAACATTGTTATGAAGTATTGCAGACAATCAACTAAAAATGTTATTTTCCAGATAAACATGAATTTATCCTGACAACGTGTATGAACTATAGGGATGATGGACAGCATTTAGCACATGTACAACATCATATTATATCCGAAATGTGTCTTATAGTTAGGTGTCTCATCTGAATTGTAACCTAACTCTTTAGGTTACAATTTTTGACTTTGTTTGTCTTCTCCGAATAAAAATAAACTGTTAATGAATTACCAATGAGGCGCTGCTGTCTGCTTTAAAAAGATGGGGCTTCGTTCCAGAAACATTTCTCAAAGGAACATCACATTAGCATAACAGTTCTCTTATAGCAAGTGGTTAGCAGCTCGGTAGATGACCACGGTAAATACATTAAGCCATTTAAAATAGATTCCCCTGAAAAAAAGACACAGCTCATTGTCAATTGTGAATTCATTGCACGCATTTCTTTGTAAAAGTTGCCTCCAACACTATTGGCTGACAGGTAACCAAAACGTTCATCCTCACCTTCTACCCAATATCCCCCAGTTTTGTTCAGCCCCATTAAATGTACTTCGGTTACACGGCAGTAAAAATCATTCTTCAAGAAAACAAAACTGCAAAAATAAGTGCAAAGCATCACCTCTGTTTGTGGCGAACAGCCATGATCTGCAGTTTTCTTTCAAAATCCCAAACCTGCATAAAACAGTGACTCCAGAATCCACTGAAACTCTCGAATAAAAGCACACTTCCCACGACTTCTGGTCTCCATGACTGTAAATGCTAGCGTTCTCTCTTGCTTGACCACATTTGCAGTTTCCCGTCTGGAATCAGACAGCAGACTGCAGTCCCAGGTATCTGGATGGAGGTTGTGACTTTGGGGAGTCTTGGCCAGTGATGCTATATTACGCAGTCAGGATGAAGCGTTACGTGGGAAGTCGAAGGCGTGGCAACAAGGATGAATCATTGTCAGAGGAATCAAAGAAAAGAAAAGTGACCTCTTTAAGGTTATGAGTGGATGTGCTTAAGGAGATTTATGGACATTTTATGTGCATTTATACACACATATTGAATCAGGTTTGGCAAACAGATCTTCTAAACGAAACAAAAATGTGTATGGATTTCCAGAAGAATGAAGATTACAAACATGAAGTCATTTTTCAGGAAAGTAATACAACCACTTATGGGTAAACTTCTTTAAGTTTACTAGAGTTACATTTGAAGACGTTGACCTCTGAGAATACTGTTGAGGTGGAGAGAGTTGAGTCTTTTGGGTCAGTGCTCTCAGCTGGGAACAGCTGTCATGGTAGCAAGGGACCAGGTCTCCAGCCATCATGGAAACACAAGTAAGCCAGCTCTACACCTCTTAAAGGAACAGTTCACCTAATAATGGAAATTCTGTCATCGTTTACTCACCCTCGTGTCACTGTCATTTCAAACCCTTATAACCTTCTTTCATAAAATATCCATCCATCCATCCATCCATCCATCCTTCCTTCCTTCCTTCCTTCCTTCCTTCCTTCCTTCCTTCCTTCCTTTCTTCCTTCCTTCCTTCCTTCCTTCCTTCCTTCCTTCCTTCCTTCCTTCCTTCCTTCCAACTCAACTCAACTCAACTCAACTCAACTCAACCTTTATTTATATGGTTTATCAAAACCATAAAAATGGACCAAGGTGCTGCACATAAATAGTATATAATCTAAAAATAAAAAACATCAAATATTAATAACATAGCACCAAAACATACAATATGAAACAAATCATTTACAATTATCAGACCTAATCAAACGCCAAAAGCCTGCAAAAAATCTATATCTATCTAGCTATCTATCTATAGTGGCGTGGATAGGTTTTTGTCCCCTTCCTTTTTTTTTTTGCATATTTGTCACACTTAAAAGATTCAGATCATCAAATTAATTTTAATATTAGACAAAGATAATGCAAGTAAATGCAAAATGAATTTTTTAAATTATGATTTCAATTATTAAGGGAAAAAAGCTGTCCAAACCTACCTGGCCCTATGTGAAAAAATAATTGCCCCCCTCCTGTTAAATCATGAAAGAACTGTGATTAACCACATTTAGAAAGCTGAGTTAAATTTCACTAGCCAAACCCAGGCCTGATTACTACCAGACCAGTTGAATGAAGAAATCACTTAAATAGAATCTGTCTGATGAAGTGAAGCATGCTTAAAGAGCAACACATCATGCCGTGATCTAAAGAAATTCAAGAACAGATGAGAAACCAAATAGAGGCTTATAAAGCCATTTCTGAGACTTTGGGACTCTAGCGAACCTCGGTCAGAGCCATTATCCACAAATGGAGAAAACTTGGAACAGTGGTGAACCTTCCCAGGAGCGGCCGGCCTACCAAAATTACTCCAAGAGCGCAACGACGACTCATCCAGGAGGTGATAAAAGAACCCAGAACAACATCTAAGGAACTGCCGGCCTTACTTGCCTCAATTAAGGTCAGTATTCATCATTCAACAATAAGAAAGAGACTGGGCAAAAACGGCATCCATGGGAGAGTTCCACGGCAAAAGCCACTGCTGACCAAAAAGAACACAAAGGCTCGTCTCTCATTGGCCATAAAATATCTTGATTATCCCCAAGACTTTTGGGCAAATATTCTGTGGACTGATG